AATTACATCTGTTCAAATTAAATGTAATTTGTTCTGTGTCAGTGTTCACAAATCACATCTAAGTTGTCACGTTACTTAGATGTGACCAAACTGAACTGAAAGAGAGAGATACCTGCTGCCTGGTAGTTGACTTTGTACATTGTTTAGAACCTCACCACTTAAGTTTTGCACCTGCAAAGGCTAAAAAACTGTTGTGTGAAACAGGTCTTGTCTTTTGTGACTCAAGAATTATTTGATGATACGTGTTTTTTTGGGTGGAGTCATAATTATTACCAAGGTATTCACAAGTGTCAAACACACCCTTAACATTACCCTTTGAGAGCACATTATGTGCCAATAAAAATGAACTCGGTGACTCATCAAACTGAAGGCAGCATTTTCGCTGAATGCCTTACATGAACTTTTGTTTGTTGTTAGCAGTTGTGATTTTAAAGCTGACATGATCCTTTCACTTCTCTGGCAACAGAACATGAGGGTGCGCACAGTGAAAGGTCCGGATTACCTCTGTCGATCAGGAGCCAAATTTCATGGAGCAATGGAGCAGAAGTTTCTTTTAATCGATTGCCACACGGCAATTTATGGCTCGTACAGGTAAATAATGTCAGATTTAGCAGCATAGGACTGCTTTCATTGTCAGAGTTTAGACTTTGCAGAATTATTTGTCACCGACATTTTGTGAGGAAAAGTTTATATCTTGTACTTCTAAGAACAATACACATTTTTGTGGTTTTTGTGGTAATTGTTTATTTTATGCAAAGCTTTTAAAAAGCTGTAAAATCCAACCCAGCACCAAAAGCCAGCGATTAATTACATTTAATGAACAGCTGGATTTTTTCTTTTTTTAAAATCTCTGGGTCAAATAAGTTAAGATTTGTTTTGTTTTGTTTTTACAGCTTCTCTTGGTCTTTCGAGAAGATCCATCTAAGCATGGTTCAGGTCATCACAGGCCGGCTTGTAAAGTCCTACGATGAGGAGTTTCGGACACTTTACGCCCGGTCGATTGTCCGAGCCGAGCTCGGTACCCCACTGGAAGGGACAAGCAACAGCAGCTTTTTTGGGCAGCATATGTTGTCAAGACATCATTCTGCTCCAAAGATTGGACGAAATGACCATATGAGGCATACCTTGGATGTAGCAAATTGGAAAACCGGTGAAATGAATTCCGGGACAAGAGACAGACTCATTAAAGAGGGCGGTATATTCCTTAGTCCCTTAATGAAGACATCACAGTTGGAATTTGAAACCCTAGATGAGATGAATTTGTGTAAAAGGCACAGTTACGCCTGGGAAACACAAGATGGATGCATCCCACAGAACACGAGGCCGAGAGGAAGCAACTGGAACATCCAGAGAGACTCTAGCATTCTACCACACAATTATGCAATGGATAATTATTTGCAAGTACAACAAATACACAGAGGTCAACACATGCGTCAGTCTTATAATGGCCTTGATAAACAAGTCCTTTCCATGCAACAAAACTTGCCAACATTGGAGAAAACCTCAAAGTCGTTCATGCGCACATGGAGGATTGAATCTTATCTAAAAAATCCTGACGCTCCCTCTCCAGACACATTTGACTATCTAGACCAGTTTGAAACCGTGGATAAAGCTAACTCCTTCATGCAGGGACATATGCGTAACTCAATTTCTGTCAGGAGCCCCATACCAGAACGCCTGGAGCCAAGCAGACTAATAAACACCCCTTCATGCCATACTGGTTACTCAGCAGCACCCAATGCACCGCTGCACTACAATTCAGTGTACTGGGATGCTGCAGCAGCTGAGAACAGAATGAACACCAAGCGAAAGAGCTTGCAAATTTTAGACAACTTTGACAGCTACAGCTCAGGTAAAAACTCTTACCACTCTACATATTCCAGTTTAAGCAGAAGTAGACATGGGCAGATGAATACAAACCCGGACATGTTGACAGACAGTTGGCAGAAGAGGCACAGTGTGGCTGATCCGAGGTCAAGTACGGAGCACCCATATGAAACCTCGAGTCACATGTATGGACATTTTGTCAGGACAGAAGTAAACAGGAGCACCGCGGAGATTCCTGTTCAGAATGGCGGTTACAAAACAAGCATGAATGAAGATCAGCGATCTCTCTCCCACTATGATGTTAAGAAAATTGCAGACAAAAAGGGCCCAAATATTCGTATTTTTCACAAACCCCCAACCAGGACTGTCTCTGCAGCAGCCCTTCATCTCAATAACAAAGAATTGGCGAACAAATCCAACAGTATGATTTCTCAGCCCATGCCAAAGAATAGCTCTAAGAAAATGCAATCTTTGCTGAACATACAAGAGGGGAAAGAGGATTTCAGAACCATGGAGACAACAAGTCTCAATTCTTGTGAAAGCAGTGACACCTTAACAGCCGATGATGATGCAAGGTCGATTCAAAGTGGAGAAAAACGTCAGCAAAGTTCAACCAATTCTGTCAAATCATCACCCGAAAGCCATCTAATGTCCGAAAAGCCACAATTCAAAACAGAAGAACATCAAGATCACCAAGTAAACCCTCCCTCTAAGACTACCATACAGAAGAAACCCTCGTTTCATGGAAGAAACACTAAGCCAGCAGCTGAGAGTCGTGTGTACAGCAGGTTTGAACCTTTCTCCTCGCTTGAAAAGAAAAGCTCTCTGTTGTCTGGCTCCAAACGTGCACAGTCCAAAAGCCTTACTAGAGGTGAAGCAGCATTCGAAGGCAGCCACAATCAGGCAACACGAGGACACCAGGAAAACAAGCTGGAGAAATTCTTCCACAGAGTGGGAAGTTTGTTAAGTAAGAATAAGTAATGAGTGCTGCTTTCGTGGCACACTCAAGCTACATAGGTTGCCTATTGTTGATGCCCATTAGGTTGGCAAAGTTCCCCTACGTAGCTCAAGTATTTTGACTTTATTTTTTTACCTTTTGTATTGCACTGAAAAATGATAATAAAAAAGGGTACACTGATGTGCATTACAGTGTCAGTGTTTTAGAAATACCACCTCAGTCTTTGTTCTGCCATGAATTAAAATGCTGTCAAAATATTTGCATTAGCAGATGGTCGTTTTGTCAGGTCACATATGTATCCTTTCTTTCACTGGAACTGCAGGTGTGAAGGGTGAATATACCTCACTGATTTCTGTATAGACTTTGTGCTTTTCAGTGTTGACAGCTGCGCCAGGCACAGACATAAAAAAATATAATAGGCATGCAAACTCATCAGACAACCGGACAAGCATTTCTTACTAATCTATGTTTTACAAAGGCTTCACAATGCAGTGAAGTAGGGCACAATACTGTGAGAAAGAATGCACATTATGTACGTTTCTTAAATTCTTAATCTTCCATTAATTTTATGAAAAAAATCAACAGGGATTTCAGTAATGGGATTGCTTTGTTTACAGAATGGTGCACCTTAATGTGAAAACTTTTTATATGCACGGACACGAGAAGCCAAGAAAGAGTGACTCTTAGCTTCACTTGTGAGGTGGTGACAACTTGGTCGAGAGTTTTTATTTCTTAGGGGATGAAATGAATGTGCTCAGAGATAATGCACTTTTAAATGAATGTATTGTAGAGGGCTGGATGAGGGTTTGTGTGTCAATGTTACTGTATAGTAAACACTCTGCAGCCTGGAAAAGTTTTCTTTTATTTACTATTGTGTTTATTTATTATTTCAGGAAACATTTTTCTAATAAATTTTTGAATGTCAGTTTAAATGTTTTTTTTTTCTTTGGTGGCCAGTGATTTGTAACTTGTGGCCTCATTAAAACATTATTAGACAAGCATTTGCATTGTAGTTAACCAATATTTTGTAAATGTGCTAACATGCTCCTACATTATTAGCTGTGAAACTTTTTTATATTGGTGAAATGGCTCTTTGCCCAGGGAAGAATTTGCCTTTAGATAACATTTTCTCTTGTGATGCCATGTCATTTGCACATGGAATGTGTTTTCTATTTGCCTGCTGAGTTAATGAACAGTAGAATAGGGTAAACTTTGAGCTTTTAATTGTACGTCAATGGAAAATGCTACCATACCTTGATTCAACTTTAAGACTAAAACCTTCATAAACTGAATAACCACTGTGTCAGGCAGGGATTTTCTTTTAACAGAAAGTGAAACGAGACACAGCAAACGTGTCTCTAAAATTAAACTTTGTCCTACACAAAAAGTACTTTATATAAAAATATACAATCTCTGAGAAAACATGTTTTGAGCATGCAGATGATTTGATGAGGCATTAAAGATTCCTATTACTTTAAGTAACTAACTATAAACATCTGGCCAGAACCACATTAAAGTGGTTTACATCAATTTATGTTCAGATTTCAGAATAACTCGATAACATTCTAGACCTGAACCTATTTTTGACAAAACTTAAAAATTGAAGTTTCATCATGATTGCTAGTAATTTGCTTGCATTTAGCACACCAGAGGCAATTACTTCATCTGCAGTCTTCATGGGAATACTCTATTAGGTTTAATAAAATGTTAATAATATTGTGACTACACAATATTATTAACTTAACAGCTGAAAAACAGCTCAGTTGCTTTTTAAATAAAACATGATTTCAAAGCAATGGAACATATTTATACCCAATTAAATGTTTTACATTTTGTCACAATGCAATATTTTACAACCTATTCTATTGGGATTTTGAGTGACAGACCTAAACAAATAATTAAAATATTTTTTCAAGGAATAGGGAAGTGGTATTTTTTATAAAACATTTCTAAAAATACAACAATCTGTTGCACTCACTTGGAAGCAGTCCTACTGTGGCAATATTTTTTTCTAAAATTGTTAACCAGTAGATCCTCAACCTGGAACTGGATGATACAGAAAAAAATAAAAAATAAAAACCTAGAAAGAAGGTGTATCTCAAAAACATGTAGTGGGGTCACTCCAAAACTCAATTCTTACAATAAATGTTATAATGTGTGAGTTTGAGAATGGACCAAAAAGCAGACTGGAGCTGGGAGCATGTATCATGTTAATTATTTAATGAAAAAAAATATATATATATACAAATATACAAATAAAACCACAGGGAAGAAGACAGGGAGTCACAGTAGAATTAAAACCATAAATCCAATGAAAAAAACAGCAGGTTACAAGGAGAAGAAATAGAGAAAATAACAGAGTAAGAACCAGTAAGGAGTGTGAGTAAGAGAAGGGTTTAAATACTGTGATGGTGAATGCTGGAACAAAAGGTCTGGGCTGATGAGCGAACAGGCTGCAGGTGTGAGGAGAGAGTAAATGGCACAAGGGTTAGGGTTAGAGTACACTAGAGACAAGGAAATTAATCTACTACAGAAAAACTAGAGCTAAGAAACACAATTAAATTAGATTAACAAGGAATAACTAGGGACAAGAAATAAACATAATGCACTAGAATTACCAAGAAATCACAAACACTTCTGATCTGATAAAAAGAAGGAACACAGAAATGAACAAAACCGAATTGAACAAACCGAGATCCTAACAGTAATAGTTTGCTTTGGCACACATCGTTTCACACAGCTGAACAGCACGTGTCATTTCCTTACAATATATTAATTGAGGATAGTGAATCATAGGAAAATTACATGAGATCCTGTTTCCATCAGAAACAAAGGAATGTTTTCTTAGCAATCAGACTCCCAAGAAATAAAGAAAGTCAGCTCGTGGCGATGTCATGTGACAGCAGTCAGAAATTTATAGAGATAAGCCTCGATCAGCTCTGGTGCAGCGCTGTGATGAAAAATCCCTCCCTTGGGACACAAGCTTCTGTCATTCAGCTCTCATCCCCCTGAGTCTAACTTCTTAGTTCCAGTTCATAAAAAAAAGTCCAAAAAAAAAAAGAGAAACTGAAAACAAAAACAGACTGGACGTTGGATCTCAGAGTTACTTGTCTATAACTCCAGAATTTGGAAAATAAGCCAAACAACATTCTCAGTTTTCCCAATTTCCAGTTTACAAATTCAGATGTGTGATGTTAGTGGCACATCCAATGTTTGAGATGGTTCTACTCATGTTTTTTTTTTAATTTAATTGCTTAGCTACTGAAAGGAAGCAAGCAGAAAACATAAAAGTTTTATTCCAGCTGCTTTGTTGCACAGCAGATATAAGCAGGAACAAATAACATGAGCATGTATAAAACGGATGAATTTGTCAGAAATATATTTTCTAAATCACTTTCAGCCAAATGGTGCAAATGATGATTCCTGACATACAGAATGCTACATTACAGGATGATGAAATCCACTCAAAGCTTATTTTGTTTGATTGCTTTTTAGGTTTTTATATACAGTCATTATCCTTATCCTGAGCTTTAAGTGGGAATGAGGGAACAGCAGGACAAGGCAGTGCTATAACCTATAAAATTGCTTGATTCAATCTTAAAACAATAAACAGTAATCATCATAAGCATCTTCCCATAGTCCAAAAATGTCTTCAAAGCCATTTAGAAACTACTGGATGTGTCCAAACTTTTCACTGATAGTGTATGTTTTGTATTGTCCTAAAGCAAAAGAAATAAAGAAGAATAAAAGATAAATAATTTGTCACAATCATTCCACATTAGAATTATGTACTATTTTATGATGAGGTTTCACAGGAATCCCAACAAAATTTATTAAGGTTGTTGACCAAGAGAAGCAAATAAAAATCAGGAATTGTTAATGTTTTAAAAGCATGCTAAAGCCTATGGTGAGTTAAGTAAAAATGCAAAAAAAAAATATTTTATGACGTCAAGAGAAACACTGAAACAAAGTCTCCACAGAAAATCTGTAGGTGTGGGTCTTGATGGTCTGACATTTCAATAAGTGACATTAGAGGTTCAGAGATCAAACATTTAGCATGATATAATAGGAGTAACAGCGTAAGTCGCTAAACTGTATGGCAATGGAGTAGCTTGTTTGTTTGCAACAACTACAAGAAACAACTTGACTTTGATGTGGAGCAAAAAGAGAGCTTGAACTGATCCTTCTCCTTTTTTCATACAGCACACAGTCTAACTCTGTACATATCTGTACAGAGGGGAAAAAAATGGAACGAACAAAAATCTCTGGCTTCCAAGGAAGCCCTGAACAGTCTTGTCGGCTTTAATCAGATACATATTGAAAACATTAACTTTGCTGGCTCCCTTCATTAATGCTGATGCCTCTAGCAAAGAAAACACGTGGCAAATGTATTGATCTAATCCAGTTTTTCTAAATTAAAAGACACTTTACTTCACAAGAGTGGACCTCAGGCTCTCACCTCTTAATCCAATGTAGAGGTATTTTTTCCAAGAATGTAGACAATTGTAAATCCTATAGTTTACCTAAATTTATTTTTTCTAATGTAAAAATTGGCCCATACCCAAAGGTCTCAGAGATTAATTGCCCCTTTTATTCTGCCATTAACCTGTCTTTTGTCTTTCTACTGATTGAGGTTAGATGTTCTGACAAAATCAAGAAATAAAACTACTTTTACTTGGTTCATTCCTACTGTGCTGTCTGTCACTTATACTCTGCTTCAGAGACCTGTTTTGCTAGAAATGTTCAAAAACACTATTTAGTTCTCCCAAACTCTATTCTCCTTACATATTATGCCATTTTAAGCCTTGCTCACAGTGAAGTTTCTCTCAAGGGCAATCTGACCAGTCTACTCAAAACTTTTTCACGCCTCATTAGATTCTTCTTCATTTTTAGTTTGTTCCACTGTGTATGTGATGCTACAACTGAGGATCAACCGCTGTTTGTGATGTACAGCACAGCCGGACTGCTTCCCCACAGGGGTTCACACCAAGACACAAGCACACTGTTAAGCCAAAAATATTTAACCTTTTCCCTTTTGATTGTTTCAGACAGTGTAGTTTGACATTTTGAGATGATGACCACGACAGAGTGCAAAAAACAAGGGCAAACCCAGAAGTGTGTTCAAACAAAAATGGTACAGAAATAATTTCAGTGTCTTGTATAAACTTATCAACAAATCCTGTGGCAGAATATGTGTTGTCCTCAATACTTGCAGTCTTTACATCATGTTCAACAGATATTTTAAAATATATATATTTAAAATGAGCCGTAAACATGCACACACGGATTTTGTTTTGCTGAAGTCATTAGGCAATGGTTTCCCATTGCTGAGGCAGTTTCCTAGTTTTTCCCTATTTTTTTTTTCTATAAAAAATAGCAGATTGAATTAAAAATTAGTTTTTCTTTAGTCTTAGGGAAAAGGAATGAGGCGAGTTTAATTCTGAGGCCTTTTGTGCTGCTGATCAACTAATTAGACACAAAAGCCTTCAGTCTCGCAAACTGTGACATGTCTGTCAGATAATGATGTAATTGCATCCATGAGGTTACAGATAAGGGTTGCAGTTGTTCAGATAATCAACAAAGTCAAAAAAATTAAACTTTTAAGAGTGAAACTGTTTCCAAAATGCAAACCACAGAGCAGCAAGACTTTGTTGAAAACACAGCAGGAGCCATAACCCTATAAGCACAGCATTGTGTGCCTGAGGCAGGAATCCCCGATTTCTCACTGCAACATGGGTGGTCTTGAACGGAAACGGAGTGAAGCTTCGTATTTGCAACTTCATAAATGATTCCTAATTTGTTACAAAAACGTAAGTCCCTTTTCCATTTTAACGTAAATGATTTTGGTAAAAAAAGAGAAAAAAGTTTAATTTTCAGCTAAAAGCTCCATGACTCCAACTATTGTCTTTCTTAGATGACTTGAATTGCAGTGGTCCATTCAATGACAAAATGTAGATTTTTTTTTTCAGTTCCTTTGGTTTTATATTTTAGACAATACGATAAAAACAGGTCTTAATTTTTATGTCTCAACATTTCTTTTTCTTTTTTTTTTTTCCTTTCTTACATTTTAATTTATAGCGGAGTAATGACCTCAGTAAATATTCCGCCTATTTTCCATTATCCCTTAAAGTTCTTCATAACCTGTTACCACACTGGAGTTTGGCCCTGTCTCGCAGATGGAGACAGGGAGCTATACACCATCATCATTCTGACGAGGTCGTTGGAGTACGCTACCATCGCTCCACGGTTCCGCGTCTTGGTTACCAATCGGCACAACAACCTCCGATCAGCGCAGACGCGCGGTCCCTTCGCCGCATTTCAGAGCGTATATATTAACTCGAAGCATGTCAAAAATCACGGAGAAAGCAAACTGTGACGACTGTAACTATCCCGCCCACGGGGGAAATGACACGGGATCGCGCGTGCATTCCACCATGGATGAGGACGACGAACTTCTGAGATACATTTGGACCGATTACTTACACCCAAAGGAGTACGAGTGGGTTCTAATAGTGGCTTACATAGTTGTGTTCTTTGTGTCACTGATCGGAAACTCGCTTGGTAAGTGGAATTTCATGCTGCGCTCCTCACTCCATTCATGCGTAACGAATGTTGCAGAAAGCCTTAAAGCACACTTTCAAATTGCACTTCGAACAAATAAATGAACTTATAAGTGAAAGGCGAGTAAGATTTTAATCCATGCTGATGAAATCCGTAAGAGCGTTAGTTTGTGATTAGAATGTCAGATGCGCATCTGGTGATGCAGCGGCATGCAGAGCCCCAGAGCGCAGAGCAGCAGAGTGCAGCTCAAGGCGATATGTTCAGGCGTATTTCAGTTTTAAAGGCAGCCGTGTACACTTGACTTAAGGTTTGAGCATTGGATAAACTTGAAATTGACATTTTGCCATCATTTTAACCTACATCATCTTCTGCTTTACTCACATCTCCTTCTTTGATTGCCCAGTTCCATGAGAATCTTGGAAAAGTTAAGTGCCACGGGTAGTGATGTCAGTAGAAAAGGCACTTTTATCATGCAGCTGGATGTTCAATGTTTTGGTTGATATACATAATTGAGGCATGACATGACCAGTTTGGCGGACCTGACTTATCAGATGCATGTGCCTTCATGCACAAAAAAGCTTGGAAGAAAATGAATTATTTGTTTTTAGAGCCATGAATTAATAATGCTTGAAATATATTTTCCTTTTGTTGTTGTTGTATCTGTAGATGTATATGTTTTTTTCTTTTTTTTCCCCCTTCACTCGAATTTGACTGTGAAGGCTCTTTGTCATGCCATTTTCTTTTTATTTAGGGAAACTGTTGCAATTCAAGCTCCTGTGTGCCTGTCTTCCTATACCTTTTCTTGTCATTGAGTTTTATATGATCTCTTTGTTTTGCGGTTTTTTTTTTCTTTTTTTAATTTGCATAGTTAAAGAGCCAGCAAGATTGGCACGTGACTTACAGTACTTAAATTAAATACACTTTTTAATGTCATTCATTTAATGGCTGTTAATAGCAAATTGTAATTAAACATTAGTATGGTGGAAAGGAAAACAAATGTTATTTCACAGTGAGTATTATAATTCTTTCACCAGCTTCTACGCACCACAACATTTTCCAGGCAATTTCAGAGATAAGACTTTGCAGCACACCTCGTTCCTTCTAGAAATGCATGATGTCCAGCAGGTCTGGAATATTATAACACAAAATGTGGGAGTGATTAAATTGTGAGTAGTTTGATACTGTCATTTTGCAAGGCCATTCACATTTATAACTGTCCTTCTGATAGTAAAGGGTTCATATCTGTGTGAAGTGTAATCAATCAACAGGACCTTTACAATTTGATCTTTGATGATTAAAGTACATTAATAATACAGCAGCTATTCATTTCAACATAACACAATTATTTGAATATTGTGTGGATGATTGAACTGCAACTTTTCGGACTACTCACTCAATTACTTAGTCATCCAGTGGAGATACCATTATGAATGTCACAGTGGTGTTAAATACAAAGTGGTGTTTTATAATGAACTTGTCAAACAGAACACCATGTTTCAGCAGATTTCATCAGTGTGGCCCGAAAGTGCTAGAGCTAACAGGGCGGCATTATGATTGTTTATGGTTGCTAAAAAGCAAAGTTAAATAAAACATGTGAAAGACAAACACCCCCAACTAAGATGTAGGCAATAGTGGTTACATTTACTTGAGTTGCATTTTGGGAAATAAAGGTAATCATTGGAGTTGTCTTACTGCACTGTACATTTTAATTTTACTTGAGTAATATTATGAACTATTGCTATAGTCACTTTACAAGATTTATTGAGAATTTGGTATTTTTATTTTTGTCGGTATTATATAATTTAGTTTTAGTGTTGTGACAAACGTTCCGCTGTGCCATATGTAGCTTGATCATTTCTGCAGCAGAGGTGTCACATCTCTGAGACGCTGCACACTCTACAGTTACGACACAGGTAAAAAATAAATGCAAAACTGGTAAAAATGTGAAGTAATGACCTGATAACTTTTCTCATCTTGCATTATGCAAACACAACTTGTCTGTTTTTAATCCACAAGAATTTTCTATAGCACCTGCAGGGAACAATCAGTGCTTACCAAACCACTAAATGCAATATCACAATCAGGTCTCTTGGAATGACCTGGGCTCCCAGCTTGAGTAGGACATTTTTGCATGTAAATTTCAACTGTGCTTGTTGCTAAGTGATAAAATAACACTACGAATTTACCTGGTGGCACTTTAAATGCAAATTGCACCTATTAGCCTGTCAAAATAAAGCCATATTATTTACAATGAGTGGAAAAAAGAAACCAGTGGTGCATATGATTTATGATACAATTTT